TTGTTTTTGAGGCAAGGTCTGACTGTGTAGCCGTGGCTGGCCTGGGATTCATTGTGTAGACCAGGCTAGCCCTAAACTCAGAGTCGTGCCTGCCACTGTCTCCCAGGAGCTGAGATGTGAGGGTGTGCGCCACTGTACCTGGCCTGCCGGGCTGCATGCTGCAGCCAGGATACATTTCTTTAAAAAAAACAACCCTCTAGCCCCCTCTCTGCCCACCGAGTGAGCAGCCCCACCCGCTTGCAGGCTGCACGGCTGCGCTAGCCTTCTGTTTGCCTCCTCTCCCCGACGACGCTGCACTGTCCAGGAGACTGTATCGTCTTCCGTGTGTGCCTTGGCCTGGTGCAGGGCCACGGTTGCCTGGGCGTCCGCTAACCTTCCCAACCCTCTTGTGGCAGCTAGAAGAATGACTGGATGCAGCGTTTCACAGATGTGCTGAGTGCAGGGGAAGTCGAGGGAAGGGTGCTAAGTGCTCCAGGGGAGACAGGATGAGAAGGTAGTCAAACACCCCAGCGGGCTCTGAGTGTTCTCTTGTGAATCTCTCTTCCCTACGCTCTTGCAAGTGAGTTTTAATCAGGAGCACTTTGATAACAGCTTAGGGAGGGAGAAAAAGTTTTTCTCTGTGGCTCTGGGTGGCTTTGGAGACCATTGATGGCCTGGCCCTCTGGGCACAGCCCTCCCCTGGCTTCCCCAGCTAAGCTTCTCCAGAGCAGGAAAGACTGCAGAGAAAGAATGCCACACCAGTGAGAAAGAAACACCTCCTGCAGGGGCTGATGGAACAAGGGACCAGCAAGCTGTGGGAGCTGGTGTCTCTCCACACAGTAGAGATGCTGCTTTGCATTATTTTACTTAGGTTTTTTTCTCAAAGTTATATATGGATGGATGGATGGATGGATGTGGATATATATATATATATATATATATATATATATATATATATGAGTACGTGTGTGTCTATGTGTGTAGGTATATGTGTAGGTGTGTATATATATATATACACACACACACACATATGTGTGTGTGTGTGTGTGTGTGTGTGTGTGTGTGTGTATGTACAGATGCCTTTGGAGGCCAGAGGAATCCAATCCGCCTGGAGCTACAGGATATTGTGAGCCACTCAGTGTGGTGCTGGGAATTGAACCCCAGGCCCTCTACAAAAGCAATACATGCTCTTAACCACTGAACCATCTTTCAGCCCAAGCTGGGAGCTCCCTATCCTCCTGCCTCCAGCTCCTGTGTACTAGAATTACAGATGTGCCCGCCACATTTGCCTTGTGTGGTGTGAGGGAATCAAACCTAGGGCTCCACACATTGGCCAGAGCTGCGCTCCATCAGCTGAGCTAAGTCCTTGGCCCTCTCCATGTTCTTTCATGAGCCGGTACCTCACTTCCTTTTTCCTCGTCTTCTCCTTTTATACTCTACTTCACCGAAACAGAAGAAACGGCACGCACAGAGGGAAGATGCTGAATCACCTAGAGCCGAGAGGCAGGCTAACACCAAAACACTTTACCAAAGTCAGACAGCCTTGGAGTATCAGGAAATCCAGACCCTCCCTCGAGGACAGGGTCGTCACCACAAGGCCCTCTGTTCTTGAAGACTGACAGCCTTTCTGGTTTGTCTGACGCCCTGCCCTTGGTCACTGGATGTGGCCTGGGCATTTGTCACTGATTGCCAGAGCTGATGTGACAATGCGGGTTCTTTGGGAGGTCTGGGAGCTTGGAGCTGTATCATTCCTGTTGTGTTTATGTCAGCTTGACATGAGCTAACGTCATCTGAGAGGAGGAAACTTCCATTGAGAAAAATGCCTCTGTAAGGCCTGCAGGCAAGCTGTAGGCATTTTCATAGTGATGAATGGGGGAGGGTCCAGCCCATTGTGGGTGGTTCCATTCCTGGGCTGGCGGGTTCTATAGGATAGCAGGCTAAGCAAGCCAGTAAGAAGCATCCTTCTCTGGCCTTTTCCTCAGCTCCTACCTCCAGGTTCCTGTGGGTTCCTGTACTGACATCCTTCCTTCTGCTGGACTAAAGCAGAAGTGCATGTCCTTTCCTTTCCAGCTTGCTTTCTGTCTAGGGTTTCATTGTATCTATAAAAACCCTGATGAAGACAGCATCCAAGATCACCCTTAAGCCCCTGGTGCTTGGAACAGTCAATGGGAAAAGAAAAAAGAGGGAAGAAAGAAGGGAAGGAGGGAGGGGAAAGGGAAGGAAGAGAGGAAGGGGATGCAGGACTGGTCCCTGGAGCTGCCTGAGGACGGGGACTGTGCTCCCTTGCCCTGCCTCTTCCCAGCACCGCTGAGTGGCAGGTCTAGATGTAGCCTGCAGGCCTGTGTTCTTAGCTGACGCTGGCCTTCCCTGTCTGGGACCACACACTTGGAGAGCTTGGCTAATTGCAGCCTGCCAGCCAATTCCAGCCGGCCCTTGTTTGTAAATAAAGTTCCCAGGGAAACCTGGCGCCTCCTCCCTCTTCTCCTCCTTCTCCTCCTCCTCCTCCTCCTCCTCCTCCTCGGTCCACACACTGCCTGGCTAAAGCAAAATGAGTCGCTGGGACAGATACTGTATGGGACTCAAAGCCAAAGACATTCCCTGTGTAGCCACCACCGAAAAGAGTGTGCAGCTTCTGCGGCAGCCCTGCGGCAGCCTTCATTCTCTTGAGCGCCGTGGTGCCAATTACAGGTCCAAGGCCCGGGCCCGGGCCCTGGCCCGAGGACTCTGAGAGCCCCTACTGCCAACACACAGATTGTGCACAGCACTTGCTCGTGTCTGCTGGAGACCAGGAGTCTCTGCAGAGTCGCGTGGATACTGGCAACATCGTTTCCTGCGGTGTCACACTACCAATCCGAGCTCAGCACATGCAAATCCTGTTCAGGGAGCCGGTGAGTCTGCCTGCGTTACTTACAGGATGATTCTAAGGCAGCGGTGTCTGGCGACAGGTCACAGATGATGCCTAATGCTGCCTACTTTAGACATATTTTAACACCCACCCCGTATGCAGATTCCCGTGGAACTGCCTGCTGGGAATAATGGCGTCCTGTGCGACGGCTTCCGAGTGGGGCTTTGGTTGCTCGGAAAACGTCAGAATAACTAAGTTTCAAGTTCTTAGCACCACCTTGGCTGAGAGCTTCGTTCTAGTGGGGGATCACCAGAAGGACTCCACAGTGGCACTGAGGGAGGGGGACAGACACCGTCGTTTGAAGTCCTCCCTCATCAGGAAATCCGGACACTCCACCTGGGGCCAGCCCCCTGAGTCCCATCCCCCCGCCCCATCTCCCCTCATTTCCAAGATGACGCATGGACGCAGAGGCTGTGTGTCCTGTTAGAGATACACCAAGGCCTGAGGCCCCCGGGTGCACTCTCCAGTGGGTGTGTCACAGGCTCCACTGTAGCTCACCAAGCATAGCTCAGTGAAGTTTCTGCAAGCGTCACACAGAGGCCAGGGACACGGGGACTAAACCAGCCTTCCCCGCCTTTGCATCCTTACCTCCCGCGGGACAAACAGTTCTCACTGTCATGCGCCAAGTCAAGTCATTCAGGCTCCTTCCTCAAAGAAACAGCCAGGCGCACAGCCAGCTCTGGGCTGGCCTTGTCGTCCGTCAGCAGTGTGTAGCTGCCCCCTAGTGGACAAATGGAGATGGTCGCCGTGTTGTTGAACAGACCCATGGGGCAATAACTTAACAGAGGGTTGGAAGAGTGAGCCGCTGGCTCTGAAGGAAAGAACTGAGCAGATGTGGGAAGGCAGCAGGTTAGAGTCAGTGTGCTTCCAAGAAGGAGATGCACTTCTCTCTTACTGTCTCCAGCGTTAAGTATCAATAACCTGATTTATTTGAAAAGAATGCCAGAAAGAAACACAATTGTGCTTGGTTGTCTGTGTTCACGTGAGGCCACGGCCTCCTTCTTTTAAGCATGAAAACACAGGCCAGGGAAAGAGCATGGCTGTGTTCGTCAGTTGCATAAATGGGGTCACGTGCCCTGCAGTCATGGCTTGATGGTAACAGCAAGCATGAGGACCCAAGTTCAACTCCCAGCATCCACATAGAGTTTGACCTAGTGGTGCATGCTTATAATCACAGTGTGGGGAGGCAGAGCCAGGAGGTCAGAGAGCCTGGGAGAAGTGACAAATCCCACATCCCAGTGAGAGGCCCTGTATCAAAAAATAGGTGGATGACTCCTGAGGAACAACACCTAGGACTGGCCTCAGGCCTTCACTCACTCACTCTCTCTCTCTCTCACACACACAATCATCATCATAAATTGATACATGGCTGCATGTGGTCCCAGCCATTGTTGGCCCGCTGTGTTGAAACAGACCTGAACAGTGTGTCTAACACACAGCACAGTAAATTCCTCACGTTCAGCGACACTGTGCCTCTCGCACATCTGTGGCCTACGTGCCCAGCCCCATGCACGGTTGAGAGTAGGTACTCAGGGAGGGCATTGCTAACCCGGTTGGCTCTGACTGACCTCTGTAACTTGGCAACTTCGTTGCAGAATTTCCCAGAATGCACTGAGTGACAAAAAGTGTGCTCTCCAAATTGGCCGTTTAAGGCATCACAGCAGATAGGGGCTAGCTGCCATCTCTGTTTTCTTTTCTAATTTGTCTCTGTCTGAAGTGAACTGGGCTGTGACGTGAGAGGCCGGTAGGTCAAACTGCTTTGTGTAGCGCACAGAAAGGGGAGGCTGGCCTGGGTGTCACAGGGCTACAGCAAAGCCTCGAGGACTTCGGAGGCTGCCTCCTGGGACACGGCCTCCAGATTGTGTTTGTTACTTCTTGTTGCTATAGTAGAATATCTGAGCTATTCTGTAGCATGCGGGAAAGATTTGTTTTTAATTACGTATGCTCGGGGGATTCGTTTACATAGCTGTGTGCATTTGTGGGCATGTGTTCACGTGTGGGCGTGTATTTGACAAGGACAAGTCGCGATAGGCATTTTGACTAATGACTTTTCTCTGCATTCCACTCTCTTCCTTTATTTCCCACCTCTCTCTGCACCACCTCTGCTATTTCGCAGGTCCTGGGGCTGCTGGTGTGGACACTCATCGCTGGCACAGAGTATTTCCGAGTCCCTGCTTTTGGATGGGTCATGTTCGTGGCTGTCTTCTACTGGGTCCTCACCGTCTTCTTCCTCATTGTCTACATCACCATGACCTACACCAGGATTCCCCAGGTGCCCTGGACCACGGTGGTAAGGATGCCTCAGGGGATGCACCTGCCCAGGGCTACGGGGTGGGAGAGCGAGTGTCTTCTTGTGGACTGGGGCCACCTCTGCTCACAGGGCGGCCACTGCTGGAGCAGCCAGAAGCTGCATGCGCTTTCTCCTTACCCGATGGCCTGAGGGTGAAGCCAGTCGAAGTGGAACAGTGCACAGCCTAAGAACGAACCAGTTCTTGGACAAGCTCAGGGGAGAACTGGGGTCTGCCACAACCCCAGGGTCTCCTGACTGACAGTCCTTCAACTCTGTCCATCACAGTTGAGTGCGCATGACTAATGAGAAGGGAGCAGGCAGAGGTTCTGGGGTAGAACTGGAGTGTTGTGTTGGTGTTAGCTTTTAAAAAACCTCTTTTATTTACATTTTTTTTCTCCCTACTCCACCCCAATCCCTTCCAACACCCCAACACCAGGTAGGAAAGAAAAGGGGTTAGTGGGAGAGGGAGCACAGTTCTCTTACCTGCTTCCTGCTGGTTAGGGTCGTTGGGTTCCGTGGAGCCAGTCCAGTCCTCGTTTCAGGAGATCTCCGACTTCTTGTCTCACAACAGCAACCAGGAGCAGCAAGGGGGAAGCAGGAGCAGCCTTGTTCTTTCTCTTCTTCCACTCTCTGGGCTCTGGCGTTTGCTCTCTCTCTGGAGTCCTCAGATTTAAACTCTCTGCAGCTGGCAAAGAGCTCCTCTCAGAGGCTGCACGAGGCAAATAGTCTGCTGCTGCGGAACATCTGAGTCAGCCCCACATCCCACACCTGGGAACAAAACAAAAGCATGTTTCTATCCACAACAGTGCTGGAAGTATTGGTTTGTATGCCCAGCAGCAAAGAAGCACACATGCACACACACAAAATAGTAGCGCACTGGCCTGGCCTGATTGAGGTCATGCCTTCTGGTACCACAGAAACATGAATAAAATTAAAGAGCGTCTTCCCACTTGGAAGCAAGAGGAGGTGAGGAGTTTAAAGTTTTGTCCTGGCTCCGGGCAGCATGCCATATACAGGACAGACAATGGTGATCACACAGTCTCCAGGCACGAGAGCGCTTTGGAGAACGGGCGGTCTTGACAGGGAATTGGAAGTGGCCGCATCAGTTGGTAGACGGCTTGCTGTCCCGCACAAAGGCCTGGGTTTGTGCTCAGCACATATAAGTAGGTGGTGTTGGCAATAAAACAGTATAGGGCTAAAAAGCATTCATCACAGTGGCATTATTCAACCCCCCCGATCACAATTAATAAGACACAGATGCCTGTTGTATGTTCTAATTGCCTTATTTACCTTGGGCTGGGCAGGTATTTCTGCCCACGCTATCTCAATAACGTCCCTATCCATCTCCCAGCTCCCATCCAATGCCATCCACCTTAACCATTCCTATCGCTCCAGCCCCTGACACGGGACTTCTGAAACAGTCAGCCTGGTAGAGAGTGGGTCACTTCCACAGTTGGTGACCTGCCCATTGGGGCTTAAGTTCTCCCCAGTATGGGAAGGTGGTTCAGACTTCATGGCTCAGTCACTCCTCACAAACTCTCCTCTGAAATTGGTATCTGGTTCAGGCTCGTAGCAACCTGCCATAGGACACCGAGTGGACTTTCTGCCTCCTGTGGAGAGACAGACATCCTCAGAGGGTCAAACGTCCCACACTGAGGGCCCCAGTCACACAGGCTGGAGGTTAAACAAAGAGTGCAGGCCAGCCAGGCTTTTATCTGCCTGCGCCTTTATCCCAGAGAATACACAGTGCTTTCACCGCGAAGCAGGATGGAATTTCAGGAGGGATCTGTGGCCTCCCTCCTCTTCCCTCTACAAAGAGCAGCTGGCCACCTTTGTTAAGATTCTCTGAAGCTCGCATCCACAGCACGGGATGTTTGAGAGCCAACAGGAGCTGGAGAGCCTAGCAAGTCCAACCTGCACCTAGGTGCCAGCCATTCACAGCAGCAGGGCAGCAGGATGTTCCTTTCCCTTCACTTCTGTAGCCTTCGTTCTTCTGCTTTAAACTCTGGAGCCATCTGGGGAGCTGGTTTCTTTGTATTGTTGTTGTTTATGCTTTGTTTGTTTGTTTGTTTGTTTGTTTGTTTGTTTAAGACAGGGCCTCATAGCCCAGGCTGGTCTCTAAGTGGCTGAGAATGACCTTGAACCTCTCATCTTCCTCACCTCCAGAGTGCTGGGATTACATGCATGCACCATGAAACCAAGGTTACCCAGGGCTAGGGATGGGAACCACAGCTTCACAAATGCTAGGCAAGCATTCCACCAACTGAGCCACAGCCTAGTGGGGACACAGTCTTTTTACTTAACATTGTTCTGTTCAAACTGGATTCTGCTTGGATTATCTCATAGCAGGTTACTGTCAGGCAGCCAGGACCTGGCCCTAACCCTGAGGAATCTATAGTCTTAAAGGGCCAGTGTGCACAGGAGGCTGGGATGGGAACAGGGGTTGCGGCTCCCCTCAGAATGCCAGCATCTGTGTCTGGAAGAGTTGTGTGCCTTTTCCTTCCCGAGGAGGAAAAGATTGTGTCCTCCCTTCTCCTGACTCCACTCCTTTGTCTCTGGCTTCCTGAGTGGCTGTTGGCTCTCCCCTGCCTACTCCCTCTTCATGTTTAGAGTGTGGTGTCCTAGAGTTTAAGAGTAATTGAAAATCTATTACCTGCCTGACTTTTCAAATCCCCATTGTTAAAGAGCAAAGAAAAACAGCTGAAGCCAAGGTGACAACAGCCCCCAAAGGGCCCTGATGTTATCTGCTCTCTCTCTCTCTCTCTCTTCCTCCCTCCCTCTCCCATTTTAAGAAGTAGCTGTGAAGCTGGTGGTGGTACATGCCTGCGGCACAGCACTGAGGAAATAAAAGTAGGAGGATCAGAAGTTCAAGGCCAGCCTATGCCTGTCCCCAAAACACACACACACACACACACACACACATACATACACACATACACATACAATTAAGAAGTAGCTTTACCTAAATGTGCCTCCCCTGGAACCGGGAGACCAGGAGAACATGGCCCTGTCAGAGGACATGGGCCAGAGGACCACAGCTGGGTCTGGGGTGAAGTAGAAGACGCTGCATAGCCCGAGGCCCGCCTTCCTCTGCCAGAATCACCATGCTGTGGTTCACAGGAACTGGGACCAAGAGCCAGCAGAGGAACAGCAATGGTTAAAAGGCCAGTGTGCAGTCGAGGGACCCTTTCCAGGCAGGTGGCATTATCCTGGACTGCAGCTGCAGTGGCACCCTCTCCTCTTGCAGCCGCATCCTCTTGGCCTTCCCTACCTGTCCACTTGGCTCCCTCATACAGTTCCTGCCCTTCGTGGTCCCCCTTCTCTCAACGTGCTGATCCTCTTCACAGGGCCTGTGCTTTAATGGCAGTGCCTTCGCCCTGTACCTCTCAGCCGCCATAGTGGATGCGTCTTCTGTCTCCCCAGAGAAGGACAGTCACAACTTCAACAGCTGGGCAGCCTCCTCGGTGAGTGGGTCCTCCCAAAACACCACCCGTGTCCTCCTGAGACTTCCTCCCAAAGCCTTTTCAGGGTCAAGGAGGTGGGTGGGTCATCTGCAGGGGGAAAAAAGGCCTTTGCAACAGGGACGGTAGGACAGTTGACCGGTTGATGACCAACAAGGCATTAAAACTTACAGGCTGGGCTTGGGTTAACACAGCAAGAATGAGCCAGAATATGGCAATAGCTGCCCTTCTACAAAGGATCTGAGTTTTCCTGCAGAGGATGAGGACCAGCGGCCGGCGGCATAGGAGGGTGATGGCTGAAGGCTCGGCCTGCAGGTGGGAGCCTTGTAGGGCAGGGTGAATCCTTAGCAACAGTGACGGCCTCCCTCCCTGCCGCTGACCTTCCCTTCAGTGTGCATGTGCTTCCTCCTAACTTCAAACAGAAATGTTTGAATTGAGAATCACACACACTCTGGCTGGCTGTGCGATGCAGTGGCTGGTTTATCCTGTGTCCGTGAGCAGACGCTGGAGGCTGAGCCCCGTCTGAGGTTACCTGAACTAGAGTAGGCCTACACACACCTCCAGCCTCACCCCTGGGTGAACTCCCTGATGCTGTAAATGAAAATGATGTTGGGCTAAGTGATGTCATTATTTGCCCGATAATTATTACGGCGGTATTCTTTAACCCGCTCTCACAGTCAAAGAAGACACAGGCGCCTGTTAGATTTTATAAGTGCCTTATTAACCTTGGGCCGGGCAGATATTCTACCTACGCTGTCTCAGTAACCTCACCATCCACCTCTCAGCCCAATGCCATCTGCCCTAACCATTCCTATCTGGACTACCTTCCATTCATAATCCCAAGATACTTGCTTATATTTTTCATCTTGGTGTTTTCTCCATCCACGCCATCCTGGGAGTCCTTCCTCCCAGCCCACATGATTCCTTCTCCACACTAACCCATCATGGCGTCATCCCTCCAACTCTTTCATGTGATTCTCTCCTGCGCCTCTCTGCCCTGCCCAGATATAGGCCTTTAATCAACCAATCAGGTATAATGTCTTAGGCAGGCTTCACAACAAGGATAGGTTTATCTAGGCAGAAACCAGATCTTGAGGGCCAGTAATTAGTATCAAAATGCAAGCAGCAGACCAACTCCTGAGGAGTCCTCAGACCTGTCCCAGAAACTCAACCAGCACAGCTAGAGAACACCAGAAAAGAAGAGCAAAGAGAAGGAAGGCTCAGTGGGTAGCTACAGGTGCCACCAAGCCTCATAGTCTGAGTTTGGTCCTAGGGACCTGTATGATAAAAAGAAAGAACCGATTCCACAGGTTGTTCTCTGGCCTTCACATACACGATGATGATGGTGGTGGTGGTGAATTTTAAAGAAAAGGCTATTGAAGCAATAAAGAAGGTTTAGAGGAGGCCTGGATGGTCAGGGCAGTTTGAATGCTTGACAGTGGGGGAAACAGTCATTTGCTAACAGGACCCACGTTGAGCCCCGCCTCTCCCATGCTTCACCCCACAGTTCTTTGCCTTCCTGGTGACGATCTGCTATGCCGGAAACACGTACTTCAGTTTCATAGCCTGGAGATCCAGGACCACACAGTGACGTCATCTTCTGGTAGCGGAGAAGAACCCACACCAGGACAATCCCACTGTAAAAACAGTTGTAGCTATAATGTATATTGCCCAGAACTGTATTTAACTAATGTTTTTATATCTTAGTTAAATTACCTCCTAGTGGCTTGTTACAGTTAAGCTGGATTGGGGAGTGCTGTGGTTTCTAATGAACTCTGAGGTCCCCTGACTTCCTCATAGGTTTTATTTTCTTACACAGTGTATAAATAAATTACTAAACATTAAAGATCCGTGGAGTTTGTAAAGCTAACTTTTTAAATTACATTTTTTTAAGTATGTGGCCACAGTGTGCCACATGCTGAGGTCGGAGGGCAGCTCGCAGGAGTGCGTGCTCTCCTTCCACCCTGTGGTTCCCAGGGATAAAATTCAGGTCACGGTCGATCACGGCAGCAGGAGCCTTTCTTTGCCCATGGGTCCATCTCCCTGGCCTAAAGCTAACTGTCCTCCGCAAAGATAGATGTTTGTGCTTGGTTGTGTGTCTGTGTGTCTGAGGGGGACGTCAGATCTTTATAGCTGGTGTTTAGGCAGCTATGGATGAGCTTGGGTCCCCTGCAAGAGCAGTGAACGTGAACGGCTCTTACCTGCCGACATCTCTCCAAAGCTGATGCTGATGATGGCAGGCTAAATGGCCCAATGCCCCGGCTAAGGCTGAGTATGGCCAATAAGGGGCGCGCCCAAAACCTGGCTTCTGCGGAAGCTGCCCTAGCACACAGCGCTACTCAGAAAACACTGTGCGCGGTCACCAGGGCAGGGTGGCAGGAGAGATCTGTCTCTTCAGGTCTGGGAACCACAGTGCCCTCACATGCTAGCCCATACCCTAGATCAATCAAACGAGGCATGGCCTTGGGCTCAGGAAAGAGCTCTTACAAAGAGGTGCTGCCGGGACGGGCTAGTTTATTCTAGAACACGTTAAATTAAATGTGTTGCCATTGAAAGAATCCATAGGTACAGGAGCCTCAGCCTTGCTGAGGGCTGGGGAGATAGCTCCATTGCCTTACAAGCAGAGAACCTGGCTTTGATCAGAACCCACATCAAAAACAAAAACATCGGGCATAGGTACTTCAGAAGTCCCAAGTTCCATCCCTGGAGTAATGGCACACACTTGCAAGCCCAGCCCTGGGGAGGGAGAAGCTGGAGGCTGACCCTGCCCCCCAACCCTGAAAAAACGTCAGGCCTGCTAGTGCACTTTTATGTCTGGTGGTGAGCTCAGCCTTGGACAGCTGAGCCATCCATCTCTCCAGCCCTGGTGGTGCGTTACAATCCTAGCATTATCGAGGCAAAGACAAGCAGACCCCTGCGCGCTTCTAATCAGCCAGCACAGCCTACTTGTGGAGTTCCAGGCCAGCCAGTGAGAGACTCTGTCTCTCACGAAGGTGAACAGCACCTGAGGAGCCATATCTAAGGTTGTTCTCTGTAGTGCATGTGCGCTCATGCACACACACACACACACACACACACACACACACACACACATCATCATCATCATCATCATCATCATCATCACCATCATCATCATCATCTTGCTGATCCCAGAGATGTGTGTGCCAAAATGTCTCCACATCACAAATTGTTACTGTGACTCCATGGTGGCCTCTTCAGCAGCTCTGTCAGATGGTGGGAGAAGTCAGATGAGCCAGGCAGATGCACCCAGAGGAAGAATTTTCAGGTGGGACAGTTCCTGCTGGTACAGCAAGCGTCTTGGGGTGACTTTTCGAAACAAGAAAAACCACCGAAGCGTTGGTGGGCTCGGCGTCCTGCTCAGGGCTGAGGCACGCAGACCTTCAAGATGTCTGACTGGCGCTAGGACTTTCCGTGGCCCCTGTTCAGTGCTGTTTCTTTCACCCACCTGTGTGTTTGGGTTTGTCCTGTTTACTTGTAGCTCCATGGCACAGCTGGGACAGCCTGAAAAAACAGCGAACAAAGCTGCAGGCAGTTCTCAGGTTGCTGCCCAGCCTGCTCAGCACCTTGCAATGAATTCAGTAAATTTTGCTTGCTCTGCTGGTCTAAATGGTGAATACATTCATGGCCCACGTGGATTTGAGCATCGGTTCTCAACCTGTGGGTCGAGACCCTTTTTGAGGTCAAATGACCTTTTCATGGGGGTCACCTAAGACCATCCAAGAACACAGATATTACGTTACGTTGTGATTCTTAACAGCAGCAAAAATAAGGTTATGAAGTAGCAACAAAAATAAGGTTATGGTTGGGGGTCATCACATGAGGAACTGCATTGAAGGGTCAAGGGTCGCAGCACCAGGAAGGGTGAGAGCCGCTGGTCTAAAGGGAGTTCGAATCCACCACTCTCGAATCCACTCTGTCCTCACCATCATGACGGCTGGTCAACTACAAAGCCAAGTCTCAGAAAAGAAAAAAAAAAAGAATGTCCCCTATAGGCTCCTACGCTTGAGTGTTTAGTTCTGCTTAGAAGGGATTAGGGGTGTGGCCTTGCTGGAGGAAGTGTGTCACTGGGGTTCCAAAAGCCCAAGCCAGGCCCAAAGGTTCTCTTCCTGCCGTCTGGGGTTCTGCCAGCTCCTTTTCCAGCGTCATGTCTGCCTGCGTGCCACCATTCACCAAGCTGTGATAATAATGGACTGCCCCTCTGAAATGCTAAGCCAGCCCCAGTTAAATGTTTTATAAGAGTTGCCGTGGGGCGGGGGGGGGGGGGGCTGGAGATACGGCTCAGCAGTTAAGGGCACTGTGGACTGTTCTTCCAGAGGACCCGAGTTCAGCAGGTGTTTCTCTGAGTTCAAGGCCAGCCTGGTCTAAATAAGAGTTCCTGGTCAGTCAGGGATATAAAGCAAGACCCTGTCTCAAAACAACAACAAAAAGGAAGTTTGGGTAGTCTCACTGTATTTAATCCTCAGGTCATCAAAACCAAAATAAGTTCATTAAAACAGTCTTGCAAGCTTTTTCTCTGTCCTCTCTCACTCACAAAGCAAAGACAGCTTCCATGTGCCCACAGATTTTGTTAAGAACTTCATACTGCAGTCAAGGCTCCATAAAAGGGCAAAGTAAAGAGGTGTTTCTGGAACCTTCTGAGGGAAGCCCTTTTAAACTCGAGGGAGATATGACCACAAGTTCAGGGGACCCCTCTAGGGTGAGCATGACCTTCCATCATCCTTGGCTGGAAATCCCAAAGACCACCGTCAATAGCTTCTTACCTTCTGCCTCTATCTGTGGCTTCTCAGAGGCAGGCCCACAGCTCCCCTGACGACCCAGCAAAACAATCAACTTTTTTTTTTTGGGGGGGGGGGGGGTTTGAGACAGGGTTTCTCTATGTAACCTTGACTGACCTGGAAGTCACTCTGTAGTCTGGCCTCGAACTCACAGAGATCCACCTGCCTCTGCCTCCCTGAGTGCTGGGACTACAGGCATGGGCCACCACACCTAGCTAATAAACATCTTCTTAACCAAAAGAAAACTTTCTTTAAAAACAAACAAACAAAAAAAAAAACCCAGACCTTTCCGGTGAATCATCTCCCAGTTTGCACTTTTAGATGACAAGATGGTTCCAGGCGGCTGGTGTCAACAAGAATTCCAGGAGAGGTGCTTGTATCTACAAGGACTGATGCATCAGAGCTGCGGTGGGGAGGTTGGAATGTTGCAGGTCCTCAGATAATTACCTTACCGAAGGCTGTCCCCACCCCATGGCAGTTCTTTGCTCACCTCTGTATCTGGTTAGCAACTTGAAATCTGTGACTGACAGACCAAAACCTTCGGAATTTATTAACTTAGCAGATCACAGGCTTCCACAACCCTAAAGCTAAGAATGTCCTCAGCCAGCACCCGAGGCCTATAGAAAAGCTCTCCCATCCTGCCTCTCTGATGTAGCCTCTAATGCATTTTAAACTTGCCTTGATTTATGACCCTCTTTGTTCTGTAAAACTGTAGAGCTGCTTCCACAAGGGAACATGGAATTTGGGTTAACCTGAACTGTGTTCCAGGGCCATGGTCATTCAAATTTGGCTCCAGAATGAAATCATTCTAGAGAGCCTGAGGCTGGCAAAGATGGCTGCAAGCCTGGCCCTTCTCCCCCATTCCCTCTGTCTCGCAAAAAAAAAAAAAAACCATTAGATTACATTCCTATAGCTAGCCACCAAGGTCTGTTTCCTTATTTGATCACTTCCTCCTCCTGAGGCTGACCACCAAGGTCCAGCTCTCAAAGTATTGAAGTCAAGCAATCAAAAGCCCCCTTTAGCTCACCTAATTAACACGCCCAGTTAAAATTAAACATCCTAACAAGGGTTTCTCCTTGTTCCATTATAAACTGCCATTTTCCTACAGGCCACTTCTGTCTCCTCTCCAGTCATTTTTCCACATCCCAGACAAAAAGCCTTCTCCCTAGTCCTCTGTCTCCTGTTGTCCCTTATTCCCTGCCCTTTTTCCCCATGCAGCAAATAAATCTCCTTTGTGCTGAGAACTTGGTCTCAGGGTTCCTTTCATGAAATAAAATCACCTCTTATTCTTTTAAAAGTGAGAGTTACACTTGGGGGTAGGGGTTGTTTTGTTTTGTTTTTATAACTAGATTTTATTTGATTTTTGTTGTTGTTGTTGTTTTGTTTTTAAAAAGCAACAACTGAGCATAACGCTGTGGACTTCCGCCAGGACCTAGGAGAAACAGGCGAGCCTGAGTCCATGTTGGTCTATATAGCGACTGCCAAGCCAGCCCAAGCCACATAGGGAGACCTGTTTGAAAAAAATAAAAGAAAACATGACACTTATTTGTGAAAACTCCATGGTAGGGCTGGCAAGATGCTTGCCACCAAGCCTGACGGCCTGAATTTAATCCCTGGGACAAGAGTAATAAAAACATTTTTTAAGGTAACAGGATGAAACCTGTTATTTTGTATGCTCGCCCAAAAATTGTCCCTCCCATTATTTGTGTGCAACATCTTAGCCAGCCTCAGACTTTCCTGGCCTCTGGGGCAGAACTGGGTGGGATTTTAACGTAATGTGTTTACCTGCTCCGGGCAAATCAATAAAATGCCTGAGGCATTTCCTCTTTTGCCATTGCTGTTTCTAATCCATCCCCTAATGATAAATATTTGGCTAGTATTTGAAAACTGAAAGAAAATTGAGAGATGGAATGTTCAATAATTTATTTTCAGATTTTTAAATTTCTCTCTTCACCAGAAAAGAAAGATCCCTTCAGGGTATTAGCGCAGAAGAGATTTTAATGCAAAATGTATCTCTGTATGAAGACTGAAAATACTCCCAGGTGAAAAATCTAATTCAAAGTCTGTGTCTCTG